TCTCTCTCTCTCTCTCTCTCTCTCTCTCTCTCTCTCTCTCTCTCTCTTTCTCTCTCTCTCTCTCTCTCTCTTTCTCTCTCTCTCTCTCTCTCTCTCGGTCGGTTGCCAAATGATAGCGTGAGCAAAAATGGTCGGATAATTAATATTCACGTGGATTTTTGTTGTTATTGTTTTTGTTATTATTTGTTTTTGTTTGTTATGTTTTTTTTTGTCGTTATCGTTTGATGTCACCATTTTTTTCGCGAGAATTTGTCACGAATTATTGAAATTATGGATTTTATTCAGGTATATGATTTAAAATCAAACATTCATAAAGTTTTAATTTATTTTTGCAATATGTTGTCACGGATGAAAACCAATCAAGAGAAACAAAAAAAAAACATATATACATATGATTGAATGCAGAAAATCGAGAAATTTTTCGGTTCGGCAACGCGACGGGAAAAAAATGTTGGATAAATAGAAAAATCAGCAAAAGTACTCAACCAATTTAAATACAGGTTGTCGAACAAATGAATTTGATTTACTCTGCACAAAATATTGCAACTGAATTGTTTCGGTAGCAAATTAAAATAATTCAAGCAATCAAATAAAGTGAACAGCCGAAAAAATGGCGACGGCACCGACGACAACGGAGGTAAATATGAATGGAAAATATCGGGGATGAAGCCGAAACCATCCAATAACGAACAACAACAAACGTTGGTAGTTTAAAAAAAATGCAGTGACACATTTAAATGACCAAATTGCTCGACATACGTTTCTTACGGCTGTGAATATTTTATTCCGAATAAAATATGATTGGATTTTGTTGTCCCCTTGAATTTCGTATTTTATTTCCGCTTGAAAAATAATAAATTTTTCGTCTCTTCAACTTCTCTGTATCTTTTTCTCTCCACCGGGCATCAGCCGGTCAACGATCAATTTAAAACCGTATGAATAATTCAGTGAGCATAACTGTTCAATTTTGATTAATTGGCCATCGCGCGCGCCGTATGAAACTTTCACTTGACTCGAAATCTCTTTATCTCTCTCTCTCTCTCTCTCTCTTCGGAGAACTCGATAATTTGTTGAAATAATTACCGAAATCGGTTAAACAAATGTCAAGTGCTCCGAGCGCATTAAATAGGCATTGAAAAAAATTGAGATGAAAATCGAGGCGACAATGGTGCTTTTGAATATGTTTAAAAAATTCATTGAATATCAAACTATGTATGAGTTTATGACTTACGTCGTAGTTTTTAAAACAGAATGGCCGCGTTTTCAAACAACTAGACAATGTCAAATTATTTTTTTTTTATGTAAATCAAAAGGTTGATTTACGCTTGAAAAAATTCGAAAATCGATTGACTACTCTTTTTGTATTTTTTCCGGTGTGATTGTGACTTTAAAATTCGAGAATCGGATAAAAAAAAATTGACAAAAGTTCGTGGTTTCTCAAAGGTTTTCGATCAAGTAACGTCAATTCAACCGTTACAACCGGAGTTGTATGTCCGTTGTTTCGAAAATTCAAAATGCGAATGAAATTTTGTTGGCTTGCTATCGCAACAGCTATTGAATAATGACTGACTGTGATTTCGTTGGAACGGTGGTAGCTGTTGGGTACGTAGCGCGTGTTTTTTGACGCGTTCAGCGCATGCGTTCGACTTTCTCTTTCTTTCCTTGTCCCATTCAAAATTTCTGTGAGCGAGACACATACAAAATATTTATCCATAGAAACATGCAGCATACACACAGTGTGTGTGTGTGTGTGTGTCTGTATATTTATGTTTTTGAATGCACTGGAGTGGTGTTTCTTCATAATTTTTCTACTCCTTCTCTTCAATTTGTACATTACATTCACATTTTCACAATGTAGATACGACTGCAATAGCAATGGCAACAGCACAAGCACACACACACACACACAGCATCGAAACGGATAATCCGTGCACAAATAATTGTAAGTATCAAAACTGTATGAATACTGAAAGATAAATAAGTGGAAAGAGACCAAGTGAAAGAGAGTGAGAGAGTGCAGAGAAAGGGACGAAAGAGTGCGGTGGGAAAGCCGAACAAAGAAAATGACGTTAAGAAAAGTGCATGCAAAAGATTTGGATGATTGAATGCCAACGACACTGACGGCGATATGCAAAATGCGATGAGTGGAAGGAGTAAGGGAGGAAGTTGCTATTGTTTTTATTGGGTTTATTAAAATGCAATATACCGGCGGTTGCAAATATCCTCAAACCATCGCCAGATACTTTGCCGAACAAAACGCGCTCGCTCGCTCGCTTGCTTGCTGTGCGTGTGCCCGATCACTCATCTCGCATTTATTTCTTTGTGTCAGTAAGACAAGTACCATGCCAGATACATCCTTTACACTTCTCGAGCACAGCGCACATACACAAACACAGAAAAATGAAACAAGACGGTGCGAAGAGGGATGGCTTTATCTCATTTCACACTAAAATAATAAATAATAATGCACAGTGCATAATATCTTTTGATCTGTCAGCGCCATTTGAATAAAATAATGAATCTGTTGAATTCGATAGCGGTGCTCAGGTCGTATGCATGATACACCACGGCCGATTACAAGCATCATTCGACGGAGCAAAAGGCCAACGAATCAATGAGTGCTTGAGAGCGAATTGTTTGTGTACACAATGGGCGCATCAATCGGCGCGCGTTTTCAACGGCGGATATTATTGTGCTCTTAATTAGCACAAAATGGCACGTCATCACTTTCAGTCATCGCTCACTCACTCTTCTCACGCTCTAATCTTCAAGCTGCTTTCAGCTAGCACGCAGCTCCAGCACAACCATCGACATTGTTTTGAAAGCAGCATCGCGTGTGGCTTTTTTTCTGCCCATTTCTGTTGATACTGCACTATTTTTTCCCATGATTTTATTTTATTTTTTTTACGTTGCTAGTTCAAGCGGTTTTTGGCCGCAATTTTCTGATTGCACCATAATTTAACGAAAACAAGCAATGAACAACAACAAAAACAGCAACAATACCTATTGGAATAAAAATATGTTTGGCGAATTCGATTTTTTTTTTCCTGTTTTGTCGATTTTAATATGAAAGTGAATTCATTGCCCACGGGATACATATTGAATTGCCATCATATTTCAATTAAACGATTGCAATAACAGCATTTTTCTAGCACTGATTGAAACACAATATTTAAACAAATAAACGAAAGCGAAAAAAAATCGATTGAAAAATGCGCGTTGATAATGTCGATGAAAGGTAAATGATGAACCGACAAGTGAATTGTGGAAACGTTTTTGTAGTGACACATTACTATTTTTATTTACTTGCCATTGGCAACGACAACATTAAAAATAAAGAAAAAAGTGGTAAATTATTATTAAATGTTTCCAATAATTTTCGAACAAAATCCTTTTATTCGAAGTAAAAGAAGAAGAGGTAGCGAACTTTGTGACAAAGAATATTTGATTAGGTCGTATCTACCAAAATATCAATGATGAATAATTGTATAGGTCTTGTGCAACGTACGAACGGTTTCGTGGAAAAAGTTTTCGATTGAGAAATTAGATGGTGCGCTGAAGTAGCGCGCAAAGACTCATTCATTCGAAGTGAATTGGTTTTTTTTGCACGTGAAAACACCGAAACCAAGGGGGGTGACACGAAACTTAAATGAGTAAAATTAGAACATTATTCAACGATAATAGGAAAAATAGAAGAATTTAGTGAGTTTGGTTTGCCAATGTTAACGCTTATGGACGTATTGTATATTGTTTACAAAATAATCCCGTTAGGTCTTCCATAAGCGTTGTATTGACAGTGTAATACGCTCTGCAACCGATTTTAATAGAAATTACTAGCACAATATTAGCACTTTTGCACCAAAACTAGAAAAAATTAGAGGACATTAGGCAAAAATATATAAAATTGAATGTAGCCAGACTCTACTACAATTTGTGTCTCGCCCCTAAACCGAAACTCTATAGTTAAAGTAGATCAAATTGGAGACATCACTTCATCGAAGATAGTTTCCAATAAATTTTTGATATGTGCATTAACATGTGTATTTGATACGGTAGACACTTGAGTATTGTTTGAGCTCAACGCTCACAACTTTTCAATGAAACAAACAAAAAGTTAAAGTTTTCGCCCCGAACCATCTAATTGAAGATACTTTTAAACCACCTCTTCTGTTTGTCTATGTAAAGTTTGACGCACTAAAGGCACACAAACAATCAATGAAAAGACTTAAAGCAATGGAAATTTGATTGAGTATGGCCGCATACAAATTATCCAATCGGCTAAAATTGCGAGAATGAAAATATTCTGCATCAATTGTCATCGTCAAATCACTAATTGGAGCATGCAAATGCTCTTTCTCGTTTTTCGGATAAAAAACCGCCCGTTTTTTCGGAAAAATAATTAATCAAATTGCCGGCTTTTAATCAGAAAAGAATGGATTTTTGAGTGTTTGGTTTCGGCATGATTCGAATGAATGAGGTAATATTCCGCAAATATAAAACTGTAACAAATTTCGGGGCAGAACGAAAAAAATTGTGGTAAAAACGAAAAATGTTTCGATAAAAGCTTTCATAAAACTTTTTTATGAGTTTACATTATGCAATGTTTTTTAGTCAAACCGCAATAGCACTAGAATTAGCCGTCATAAATCCGATTCTCTCGTTTTTTTTTCCCGCATTCACTATTCATATTTACGAACTCTTTTTTTCCCCGCTCTCCATTTGTATCGGACTTTCTCATATAATAAATTCAGAATGTTTATTTCCATTCGTAAATAAAGCGTACATCTCTCTGGGTAGTTGTATTTTATTCATGGATTCATGAATCATCACAAATGCAACGATGCACACACACTCAGTATTTCGCTCGTTCGCTCGTTGCACTCCCTCTCTTGCTCTCTATCTCTCTCTCTCTTGGCTGTGCTGGCTAGTGTTGATTAATTCAATGATTTTTAGTTGGCATCGCATCGTATTATTTGATTTATAATAGCTGTCCGAGTGAGCTCTGTGCGTTGTTGAGTACATTTCTTTATTTATTTGCATATGCGCGCACACATGGTGATGATGGTACTCGTTGATGCAAATCATCATGCGTGATTTTTCGGGTCAAATATTTAGATGTGATTAAATTCTCTCTTTCATCTCCCTCTCGACCAAACAATGTTCATTCGAATTAAAGTTTTTTACCCGTTTTTTTTTATGCAACGCAAACATTTCCCTTAAAATATATAAATTCATGGCGAGTGTCTATTATTTGCATAAAAGTCAAACGCACTGAAAAATGTATCACATTTTTTATTCGGTCAATGCATATTCCGGTGTTTCGACGAAGTGAAAAAAAATCTGGCAGTTGATTGCTGTGTAGGAGAAACAAAACGAGTGTGTGTGTGTGTATGTGGCAGAAAAATAAATAAAAATTTCTGACTTTCGGGAACATGCATCGAGGAGCAGAGCAAACTTGAAAAAACCATGAACGGGATCCGAAAAATGTAAAGTTGAGCCGTTCAAGTGCAGTCATTTCCGAGATTCGGAAATGCCAGATGATGATACTTGATCGCGTATAGCGTGCTCGCGCATTTCAACGGAATTGAAATGGGAGTATAAGAGCGGGCATACCACAAATATACTCATAAAAAAAAAATTCTCGAAAAAACGCGAACTTTGTACGCGAGATTTTTTTCTTTCATTTGTTGTCACAAATTCATTTTTACTGCAATTCACATGTCCAAATTACTTCGTGATGTTGTTTTTCTCCCTCGCCCGAATACGTGTGTTTGTTACTTAATCCATTCACGAGCACAAAGTTGATTTTTCAAATTCCATCGAAATCTGTGTGGAATTATATTCAGCTTTGTATTAACTACGAATGTTTGCGATGCAATTGAGAGCGCGCACAGCCGTACACACAAAAAATCGTGGTATTTTTTTTTTTCATGGAATCAATCATTCAAACTATTTGCCGTGTGGTGGTGGTTGTGGTGGTCTTTGCATGCGGCGGCCGAAAATTACTTGAATTATCTCCCCAATGACCATTGTTGACCGACGTTCATACCGAAACCCAATCACCGTACGGAATCTCAGCGGTGACTAATCCCTGATTTGCAGCGCTTAAAATCGTACATGTTGTTACCTTTCTTCCAATCGCTCTCTCTCTCTCTCTCTCTCTCTCTCTCTCTCTCTGTTCATATCTTGAATACTGGCCGGAGACCGGAATCGCTTTTCGGAAAGCACTAAATAAATAAGTATGTATGGTTTGTAATTGTGGCGCGGTTATTATGCGTTATGAACTGCATGCAAACTTCCCATTTCGTATTTAGTTTTGAAAGAGGTTGCACGAAAAAATTTCTACTCTTTCTCTCACACTCTCTTGGTCTGAGTCTTTCTCTCACTCTGCCATCGTTGTTGTCGTCGTCGTCGTTGCCGCCGCCGCCAAAAAGAATGCACACGAACCCTGAACTAAATGAATGGGAAAAATGCTGCATTTGAAATCTATGAAAACGCACATATGGGAAATGAGAAAGGCGCCAATCCGAAAAGCATTCACTCGTC